GTCATCAGATCAAAAGGCAGTCCACCCTCAGTTTTTCTTTCCCCCAGTTTTGCCACCAAACCCACTTAAGCCTCCGCCACTTCTTCCTCCAAATCACCCACTTAAGCCTCCGCCCCTTCTTCCTCCAAACCCCCTCCAGCCCCCTGCTCCCCTTCTTCCTCCTAACCCCCTCCAGCCCCCTCTAGCACCATTGATTCCTCTTCCACCAATACCAGGCCTTACTCCCTCCCCACCACCACCAACCTTTCCGATTCCTCTGCCACCATTTCCTTTTCCTTCGCCTCCCTCCCCAGGCATCCCCCCTGCCGCTACTCCTTGATTGAATGCCACCTATCCATGTACAATTCTTCAATAGTACCAGTAACATTTAAGTCACTTTTCTTCACTTTCATTTCCCCTTTTTTTGATTAAGTAGTTATGATATGGATATGTTATCATTTGAGTGATGAAGCATGACTAATGTCAGTAAGGATTGTATGTGAAAAACTTATTGTTCTTATAATAAACTCATAGTATGAGTTTATCTATCAGCTTTTCTCTGTAAATCTACTATTTATAATTTAAAATGCCTGCAAATTTCATGCACGAAAAGGACTAAAAACCATACAGCTGCAGAACAATAAAGGAGAAATGTTTTTTTTTTCCCTTTTTTTTTTTATGAAAAGAAAATGTCGTTTAAGAATTGGTCAATTTGCCTCGTGAATTCCACCCAAATATCCGATTTAAATGATGCCATGGAGCATATGAGACGGACAGAAGAATTACGATGGATTCTTCAACACACAAGGCAGCCTGCACTTTCAAGACAGATTTTTGTTTGCAGATGACAAACCATGTTCTGCTCAAACAAGCCAAAGAAGGGTCAAATTTTGTGTCATCTCCTTTATCATTCCATGTTGTTTTGAGTCTAATTGCTGCAGGATCAAAGGGGCATACGCTGGAGCAGGTTCTTTCCTTTCTCGGAGCAGAAACGGTTGACAGTCTTAATCATTCATCTGCACAGATCATCAACCTTATATCTCCAGTCGAAGAAACGAAAAAGAGAAAAAGCCCTGATGAAAGCCCTGAGAAAGGTCCAACCTTGTCCTTTGTTAATGGTGCCTGGATTGATCAAAGATTCAGCTGGAAGCCTTCTTTTGAAGATGTTCTCAAAGAAGTTTACAAAGCAAAATTCCAAGAAGTTGACTTTGCAAGAAAGGTTTGTACAGAATTTTTTTTTCTTTGGGAAAAAGGCATGCTTTTCCATTGAACAATATTAACACTATATCAAAACTCAAGTCTCAAAACTGAAACTATCTCAGTAACTCTTACTTTGAAAGGTTTGTACAGAATTATCTTGACATATCTAAAAGAATTCATTTAGATGATTTAATTCATTTTAGTTTCTTTTCTAAGAATGAAAACTTGTATTTTGCTAGGCTGATGAAGTAGTTGATGAAGTGAATGCATGGGTGGAAAGGTCAACTGAAGGACTAATAAAACAACTTATACCAGGAAGTTCCTTAGATAAGGAGACAGTGCTAATTCTTGCAAATGCACTCTACTTCAAAGGATCATGGGACCAAAGATTTGATCCATCAAGGACTAAACAGAGAGACTTCCACCTCCTAAATGGAGAAATTGTTCAGGCTCCCTTCATGACCAGCAAGGGAAATGAGGAACATTTTTATGGATCCTTTGGTGGTTACAAAATACTTCAGCTCCCCTACCAAAGTGGTGGAGATTCAAGAAAATTCTCAATGTACATGTTTCTCCCTGATGAGAAAGATGGCTTGCCAAATCTAATCCAAAGATTCAATTCTGATCCTGGCTTTTTTAATCAGCCCTTCCGGCTGAGGAAAGAGAAACTAAACAATCTTTGGATCCCGAGATTTAAATTCTCATTTGAGTTTGAAGCTTCAGAGACAATGAAAGAAATGGGACTTGAGCTACCATTCCTGAAGTTTGGTGCAGAGCTAACCGAGATGGTGGATTCACCCATAAGCAACAAGCTGTATATCTCGAACATATTCCATAAATCCTATATTGAAGTCAATGAAGAGGGGACAGAAGCAACAGCTAGCACGGCTTTAAGTATAATGTCCTTTAGTCTTAAGTGGTTTGTGGCTGAGCATCCTTTCATGTTCATGATAAGAGAGGAGACTTCAGGGCTTGTGTTCTTCAGTGGGGCAGTACTAAACCCACTTTTGGAGGCTTGAGTCCTGCATGTCTCCACATAGCCAATAGTTAATAAGTTCTGGATGATGCCTTTTTTCTGTATGCATGCAGCGCGCATTCATGTCTCCTATAGAGAAATGAAATGATAGAATAAAGATGGATTTTATTTAAGGCAATAATCATGCTGCAAAGATATTCTATAGAAAATTGAGGTGCTTCTTTGATACCAAATGCAATGAAAAAATCATTTTCAAAGGAATTCCTTGTAAGGCTGCAAAACAAAAACCCTTGGATGAGCAAACAACCCCCAATATCCTATTCAATGATTTAAGATGTGCAATTTGAACTATACAATATTTTTTATTTTAAAAATGACACCGGCACTAAGAAAAAGACAGCAAAAAGGACAGAAACATAAAAGCACTAATGTAGAATATGTTTTAAAAGGGCAAACATATAACCTTAAGCAATAGCACATTACCTTGTAATTTCCATCCTTAAAATTTATTTAGTAAATTAGAAGAAGAATTGCATGTTGGGATCGATTTGCCTTAGATTTCACAAAAGAGGCAGTGAAGGAGAATGTCCGGATCCACAAGGAGAAGGTTTTTTTGGGTGGAATCCAATTTGGAAACTACTAATTATGGTGTGATTAGAATTTCTAGTGTTCTACTTCAAACCAAAGTTTAGTACTTATACTTACAATAAATATGCAATGTTGGCAAACACTACCATTGTAACTCTATTTTTCTTTTATTAATTCTCGTTTCCGTTCGTGGAGAACTGTTTGAGTTGTGCTCAATCCCCAACAAAACTCAGGAGATTGCGATGAATCCTTCAATCAACTCCTATGACTACAGTTTAAGAACTGATTTTTGTTTGCAGGTGACAAACAAGGTTCTTTTGGAACAAGTGGAAAGAGGCTCAAATTTCATCTCGTCTCCTTTGTCATTCCAAGTTATGCTGAGCCTAATTGCTGCAGGATCAAGTGGAGATACCCTGAGGCAGCTTCTTTCCTCTCTGGGAGCCGATAGTGTTAGCCATCTTAGCAGTTCATCTGCACAGATTATCAACTTCATATCACCGACTGCAACTGGAAGACCAACCTTGTCTTTTGTTAATGGTGCTTGGCTGGATCGAAGTTTCTGTTGGAATCCTCCTTTTGAAAAGTTTGTCAAAGATGCGTACAAAGCAACAGTGGAAGAAGCTGACTTTGCAAACAAGGTTTGTATAGTTTTATAATTGCAGACTTGCAGTTCATACAGTTTAACTTGTTTAATTTTCCATAAATAAAATCTGTTTCCCCTGACAAAATTTATGTTTTGCATGTCTTGAAGGCTGACGAAGTAGTGCGTGAAGTGAATGCATGGGCGGAACGGTCGATCAATGGACTGATAAAACAACTTCTACGAGGCAGTTCCTTAGATGGGGAGACAGTGCTAGTTCTTGCAAATGCACTATACTTCAAAGGGTCATGGGACCGAAGATTTGATCCATCGAGGACCGAACTCAGAGACTTTCATCTCCTAAATGGACAAATTGTTCAAGCTCCCTTCATGACCTGTCAGAGATATGAGACACATTTTTATGGATCCTTTGATGGTTTTAAAGTACTTCAGCTCAGCTCCCCTACCAAAGTTATGGAGATGCAAGAAAATTCTTCATGTACATGTTTCTCCCTCATGAGAAATATGGCTTGCCAGATCTAATAGTAAGATTCAATTCTATTCCTGGCTTCTTTGATCAGCGCTTCCCACTTATGAAAGAGGAACTTCATGATTTTTGGATCCCAAGATTGAAGTTCTCCTTTGAGTTTGAAGCTTCAGAGACAATGAAAGAAATGGGACTTCAGCTACCATTCATGAAGTTTGGTGCAGAACTTACTAACATGGTGGATTCACCTACAAGCAACAAGCTGTTTGTCTCAGACATGTTCCAGAAATCTTATATTGAAGTCAATGAAGAAGGGACAGAGGCTGTAGGTAGCACTGCTACTATGGCAAAATTGTTATGTTACGATATGCAGCCACTCCCAGGATTTGTGGCTGACCATCCTTTTATGTTCATGATAAGAGAGGAGACTTCAGGGCTTGTGTTCTTCACTGGAGCAGTTCTTAACCCACTTTTGGACGATTGTGTCTTACAAAAGTATCTATAGTTATCAATTAGTTCTAGCTTTTCAATGATGCCATGTATTTTACCTATCTTGTTTGATGCCTTCAGTAATACCGTTTAAGTTTAATAAATCCACACAAGAATCTCAACTGTTTTCCATAGGAGTGATTAGACTTGAATGGAATTGCTAATATTGCCAAGGGCCATCTCTGAAATGAAATAATGAATGGAATCATAATATTATGTATCTTCTTTGCTCTTTCTCAACCCTTCTTAAAATATTGGTTCATTGTAGCCACAACAGCCTCAAGTAAACAACTAAGAAGCATCTGCACTATATCTTTTATTGAATTTAAAAATGAAATAATGGGGATTCTATAGAAGGTTGAAGTGCTTCTGTTTAGGAAAAAGAAGACAGAGAACCACACAAACAATTGTGATCAGAATATGTTCTTCAGGTATTGGGCACTTCACTGCACTATTTAAATGGGGACTGTTAAACATAAGAATTGCATAACTGAATAGAATGCCATGGAGACTTCAACAAACACTCAGAGCTACAGTTTCAATACTGATTTCTGTTTGCGGATGACAAGTAAAGTTCTGCTGAAACAAGTGGGAAAGGGTTCAAATTTTGTGTCATCTCCTTTGTCAATCCATGTTATCCTGAGTCTAGTTTGCTGCAGGATCAAAGGGGCGGACTCTGAAGCAGCTTCTTTTCTTCTCTGGGAGGAGAAACTGTTGGTCACCTTTGTGAATCATCTGTGCTCAGATTATCAAGATTGCAACATCAATCCAAGAAAGGACAAATCCTGACAGAGTTTTAACCTTTATCCTTCATCAATGGGGCGTTGTTTGATCAAAGATCATCAGTTGGAAAACGTCTTACAAAAACATCCTCAATGTTGTGTACAAAGCAACCAGGGAGACTTTGCAAACGAGGTAAACACAATTTTTCTCATTCTCACAGTAGTCATTGGACATTAAATCAGTTGAGCATATCAATTCACGTGTCTTGCTTTGTCAATCATAACTATTATCACGTATAATAAGATTCTTCCTGTATCAGTTTTTTTAAATAGGTGATTTATTGTAATAAGAATAAAAATGATTTATTTTCAATTTTTTTGAGTATTAACTCAACTAATCCACAATCGAGCCACACTAAACTCTTAAAAAGTTTTGTCAATGCTTATCTCTCCATTTATAATACTCAAGTTCAAGAGTTTACTTAAAAAATTAAATTTTTTTCACTTGAATTAAATTAGAGCATATGCCATATTTAAGAGCAGGGTAAATGTGTTTGAATATTGTCTATGAAATTTTAAACGGTATGAAACCGCATAAACAGCTGGAGTAGCTCAGTTGGTTAGAGCGTGTGGCTGTTAACCACAAGGTCGAAGGTTCAAGCCCTTCCTCTAGCGTTGTTGTTTTATTTCCAAAAAAAATCTGATCTGGGCTTGAATTCTACAGAAGTTGGGCTTCTGATTTATTGGGGCAAAGGCAACAACCAAAGTAGGCCCAAAAAGATTAATGTTTCTTTCGGTCTTTTTTGCTTTTGCCTCTTTCCGTCACCCAAAAACTGCAAGAAACAGCCCACGATTGCTTTGTGAGCAATGCTCAGAGCCCATAAAGATTTTTTTGGTACATGAGAGCCCATAAAGATTTTTTTGGTACATGAGAGCCCATAAAGATTTTGTTCAGCGGTTTTGATCCTCCTTTTTATCTTGAAGGGGTTTTTGAGCGGCTCCAGAACTAGCGGGTTTTTTGGATCCCGACGGCGACAGAAAGGACGATACCGGCGAAAATCACGGCTGACGTGATAGACATGAGAAGGCTGTGGATGGCGGGGATTGGGCCGAGTGGGATTCCACTGGAGGCACGGAGTAGGAGAGATAATAGCAGGTGGAGGAGGAGGAAGGCGAAAGTGATGTAGAGGGTGATTTAGGTGAAAAGGAAGAACCAGGTGGAGCCCCATGATTAAGTGTGGCTCCACCGGACACCGAATATTGCTGGTTACGACGTTGGTGATGGTGGTGGTAACAGCAGAGGGAAGAGAGTATGGGAAGAATAGGGTATTTAAATCTTAGATCGTCGGTCGGAGAGGGATTGTCGATTCTAGGTTCAGGGTGGATTAAATTGGGAGGAACGACAACGACGGCCAAATATGATGATGCCATGACGGTTATCTCCCTGAGATTGCATCAGACGCAAATCTCAAGTCTAAGAAATTCTAAAATCTCGCAATTTCACTCCCTGATCAGGCCAAGATCCAGGCTTTTCTCGACGACGGTCTCTACAGAGACTTCGAATGTGTATCTGCATGTACAGCGCCGACAAAGTTTAGAAAGTATAATCTAATTTATTATTGTTCGATTCAGTGTTTTGTCTGTTTAATAAGCACATCCATGGCTACGGGCATCTAACCAAGAAAAGATTTGCAGCGTAATGGACTGTCGGAAACTCACGCTAGTGGATTATTATTTCGTGCGGTGGTACAAGTATTCAAGTTTTTGAGGTATATTCATATCCTATTTTGTTTAATTAATTTCTGCACCCCTCGCCAATCACCATGGATGGCCACCATTTCCTTTTTTTTTTTTTGGTTTCCCGTCCAGTATTCGGGGCGAAACCCCGACTAATCCGGATCGATCCGCGTCATGCACTTAGAAATGGTGGGTGAGTCTCCCAACGAGAGCTGCTGCGTTCATAAGGTCTCGAACTCGAAATCTTACTTAAGCTAAAACAAAATCTTACTTAAGCTGAAACAAGTCGCTTATCACTTGATCCAACTCCTCTTTGGTGGCCACCATTTCCTTTTTCACTTTATATATGGAACGCTGCAGACCCAAGAACTCAAGCAATATTCGCACTCCTCGAGGAAGATGCTAATTCAGAACAACAGAATCTCAAAAAAGCCTTGGTACGTCCTTCCCCTTTTTATTTCGGCTAAAACGAAACATTGAGCTCTTATATTACAAAATTGATAAGTTTTAATCTCTAACCTTATAATATGACATTTTTAACCTTTTACCTTATAAAGTTGGTAAGTTTTAACCCCTCACCTTATATAGTTGGTAAGTTTTAGCCTCTCACCTTACATTATAACACTTTTAATTCTTTATTTGTACGAATTAAAAAAAATAACCTTAATTTGACATCAAGTTTTAATGTTTTATTAGTTCTGTTAGTTGACTGATAGTTTTATTAACTAACTATCAATTTTATTAGTTGGTTGTTAGTCCTGTTAGTTGACTGTTAATATTTAGTTAATGAAATTAATAAATAAAATTGAATTTAAATTTCATATTTTTTATAACGGAATGTTAACAAATATTAACAGTCAACTAACAGAATGTTATAACCTGATATTATGTGAGACTTATTTTCTTTAATTTGTATTGGTGATGAGCTAAAAATATTATAATATAAGGTAAAGGGTTAAAACCTATTAATTTTATAAGATAAAGGGCTAAAACTTACTAATTTTGTAAGATAAAAAGGTTAAAATTATCATATTATAAAGTGAGGAGTTAAAACCTATCAATTTTATAAGGTGAGGAGCTAAATATTGATTTTTACCTTTAATTTCTGATTGAAATATGCAGTAGAAATAAATATGATATGAATATCTAGAAAAGTACAGTGTTAATTTAACCTTTTTTTTTTTTTTCGCCAATTGGTTGGGAAAATTTTAAATGAGTAACTATATAAACGATCATAGCAGTTTTTTATTTTTAAATATTGATGCTATGAGGCAAAACTAAACTTTGACAATATGATTGGAATCAAAATACTGATGGTATAAATTTACAGGCAAAATTTGAAGAATATTTGGAAAGAACTTCAACTCAAGGAGTAATCAACGTCCTACCACTGTTAACGATTGATTAGTTCTAACTCAGGAAAATCCACTACTAGATGATATTTTAGTTTTGATAACACATGAAAGGTGCAGCTCTAATGCTCCTCCTCCTCTTCCATGAGCTGCTCTTATCATCAACTCTAGAATTAGAGCTGATTTCTAAAGCTGCAACAATCAAGGTTTTTGGTGTCTGAGGATGAAAACTATATGACATGCTCTTTCAAAGAAACGAGAGACTCATATTCTAGTCAACTCATATTGATTGAGATTGATGATGCTTTTGGTCTTTAGCTTCCGTTGTTTCTGCCACCCAAAACTGCTAGAAACTAACCCAAACCTCCCTGCCCCTGATTCCCTTTGTGATTATCTCCTTTCTCCACATTGTTTTGATTTTCATTGCTTGGCAAAAGAGAATCTTGAAAACAGTATTGCAGAGAAAGATAGTCCCATATTCTGTGGGAGGTTCTATTTACACGACAGCTTTCTTCCAGGATTCTTACATATTCTCAATTTTTTCTTTAAAATTCTCTATCTGTATATGTTTTGCTCAATTAAAACCATAAAATTTTTCTTACAATAATACAACTCAATTAAGAAAGTAATTTTAACAATCACCTGTTTAGAAAGCAGGCCTCTAATACAGCAGCATTACATATCTATGAAAGCAATACATAAACCACATCAACGCATTATTTTCAGTCTTCGTTATCAGAGTCATAAAAATAGTAAAAATAAGTTGATATAAAAAGCAATTCATTCCAGTTCCAGCTTCCTAGGTTGATGGATAGTTGAAACATAAGACCTACCCTATTTTGATTCTCGAACCTACACTCCAAGGTCAGTTACAACTTGTTCCCAGATTTACCTTGTCTCCATTTGCTCATCCCAATTTCTTTTGTCCTAAGGTCACCATGGTATGTTTCAGGATGAACCTTTTGGATCCTGGTGGTAATGAAGTCGATATTTCTGAAAGCAAAGATAGGATCAGGTATTTTTTTCATACTCAGAATGGTGTGAGGAAATTCACACATGATAGACTGCAGAAAATTAGAAGTTAATATTTTGCACAGGAAAAATTAACAGTGACAAAACAGTAATGATTGTTGCAAAGTTCTTTAAATCTAGTGGTTATGATCCAACTTTCCTTCCTTCAAAAATGAACATGCCTATGCTACAATTACTGAGCAAGCCCACAATTTTACTCTTATGTAATAAGTTGCAAGGAATTGAGTCCACATGATGCAATGATATTGTGAGAGAGCAAAAAATGGAGGAAACTTTCTGAAAATAGTAGTGTGCATCAGTGAAGGAAATGAAAGTCTATAAATGGTTTAGAAGTAAACGAGATTTGAAACCAGAACTTTTGTGCTTAAATCTCCCCTTCCTCTTAATAACATATACCCCTTTCCATATAAATTTCTCTTATGCCTTACTGTCCTTACCGTCTTTCTTATCAATTTTTGAACATACCAACACACATCTTCTTATCATTTAAGTAATGATTTTCAAGATTAAAACAAGAGTCACAAAACTCCACACACCCAGGAAGTCATGATACTCCAATATATTAGCCTGTTCTCGTACAGTGGTGATGTTGGGATGTTAGAAACATAAGGAAGCAACTTACCTATCAAAGGGCTATCCAAATAGTTAAGTAGCTACAAGGAAGAAGTATAACTAAGAAGGGATCAGGACACTTTGGGAACAAGACCTACACTATGAAGAGTTCACAGCCCTTGGAAGCGAGACAACTAATGCTCTTTTTACTACAATGTCCTTTATTTTAGAACTTCCTGTCTCTGTCATGCTCATCCTTTTCTTTCTTACTTATGGAATATAATAATTTGATGGTAAACTAGTTGCAATGCATTTTTCCCATCAATAATTTTTAGTGGGATTATGTTCTTAGTTTTAAGTAATATTCGTTGCTACTTGTATGCGAATTTAGACATTTTCCCCTTCTTATCAAGTTCCCCTAAAAATTTCTTAAAACCCATCAAAGGAATTAAACTCCTTTAAAAGGTATAAGCACATAACTTCTTACATGTTAGATTTTTTTCCTTATCTTCTCCTTTCTATTTCTTCTATAATCTTAAACAAAATAGTAGTGACACAATGCTATCATTTATCATGATGCTATACTCATGTTCCTAACCAAGTTCTTCATGTCCATTAATAAATTTAATTCCTGCAGTCCCATCTTCTATACCACATACATACATATACCTGTAATTTTCAAACATCATATCTTTTAACACAACAAGAATGCTCCTAGCAAATTCCTAGTTCTGTTTGTTTTTAATTGAACCAAAACAATTGATTTAGTATTATGTATGAAAGTTGATCTAGGGTACCGGCTGACTACAAAACTGGTATATAGAGACTTTTCCACAGTATGGTGTCAGTTTAATTCAGTTCAAAATTTTCAACATGCCATGAAGATATATGGTTATAACTAAGTGCCCCAATCAATCAATATCATGTAGTGTTAATGATATTCAGCTATTTCTACGAGTAGCATCTTAACATTCTGCATGATTCTTCATAGATTCATAAAATTTATACCAAGAATACTAATTAAGTTTTGAAGTCAACCTGCAAATGACTTTTGATTTGATCATTCGTCAAGCCATCAATTTGCATGATCTCTCTTATTTGTCTGGGTGCGGCAACTGTCCAGCAAGATCAAAGAAAAAAGAAAAAAAAAATAAAAAGAAGCAAATTAAAGAGCAATTGTGAAAAAAATTCATGGAGATTTAAGAAAATAATCACAAGAAGCCTAATATTTGCACAAGAAAGAAGATACTAAATAACACTAGACATCAACCTACAAAAGATTGTTTCAAACATAATATTTTTAATCAAAATTAAGTTCAAACCTTCAATTCCTCCAGCCAGCTTCACCGCCTCCACAAAAGTATCATGCAGTTTGTCTGTCCAAGTCATCCTGCTCTTCTTGATAGGCTGGCTAAGTGGCTTTGGTTGATAATTATTGATGGTTGGATGATGAAACATCAAATTCTGGCGACCATGTGCAGCTGATTCAGCCCTTGGAATAATGGAATCCAATCCTCTTGCACCACAAACATGGCCTCTCCATACAGTTAATGATCCATAGAAGGATTGCTCCTCCACATCATTGAATGTCTGGATGGGATTGTTATTTGGAAGCTGATTAAAAAAATATCATATATATACAGGCTTCTTAATGAAACTTAAAAAATGTTTATAATTTGAAAAATGTTTACAATTAATTAAGCAAGATAATTTTGTAAACCTTAAAAACTGAAAAGAAGGAAAGATTTTTTTGGGCGTCTTCTTACCTCCGGGTACGGAGCTACCATAGGACAAGGTGGGGCAGCCGCCCACCCTAAGTTTTTGAAAAATGTTTAATCTAGTACATCAATTTTTAATCAGTAAAAAATTTGTTTTTGATGTTTGAATTACAAGAACCTTTTTGAATTTAAAGAAAATATTTAGGAGCTAGGTAAAGGGAACATTTATTTATTTGTAATCAATTCTTAAGACAAATAATTTTGTTTGGGTATGTATGAAAAAGGATTTTACATTAGCTGTAATTTTTTGTATAATTTATATTCTATCAATTCAACAATTGGCTTTGATAATTGATATTCTAATTGAAAGTTCATTAATATCAGTAATCATATCAAAAAAAATTATATTTTATATGAGATTAGTATTTATTTACTAGACTTGCAAAAAAATAAGGTGAAAAATGCTTCAAAATTAGGATGTTCTAATAAAGTATCACAAAAAGATAATACTATATTCTTCATTCTTATCCTAAAAATATGCTAATTTAGTCTATTTATTTTAATTAGAGTTTATTTAAATAACATAATTTTGAAATATTTTTTTCATAATTTTTTTCTCAATCCAACTTATTAACATTTTTCCTATTATTTTGTATTATTTATTTAAGGGTATTGAATCGTATGTTATTCAAAAATAATTAAATATATTTAATTAATATAAAGTTTGGCATATATGTTGTAAGTAATACATTTATCCATTAAGTTAGTAATTAATATAAAAATTGGTATAATCCTTTTTTGTATGTAAAAATTATGGATCACTATCAAGACCCATGACTAATAGTATGATAGTATATTTGGATTGAGAAGAATGGAAGGAAGGGAAAAAAGTTCCCTTTATTTTTTTTTTTTCTTTTAATTTAGTTACATACCCATAAACTTATTATAACTCTTAGAAATTTTAAGATTTCGCCCCCCTTACCCAAAAGTCTGGCTCCACCCTTGCTTACCCTATTGTTGTCTAGAAGCCAATTAAAACTCTCCCTGCAGTGAAATAATTTTGCCTTGTCTTCATTGAATTGCTGTGAAAGATGCTTGTGTACATTTCAGTAGAAATTCAAAAATCAAACCCCAGAAGTGAAAAGTTTTGATTTTGATCTTGTGGGGTTTACCTGGACTTGGGCTGGATATCCTCTCTGTCTCTTACTTTCATGATTTGCGGTGAAAAACGTATGTGCAAAATCATTTTCATATTCTTTCCTCTTCGTGGGCAAAAACTCCACCAGGGGCTTCCGTCCTCCTGATTCCATACTCTTCTTTATTTTCTCAGATTCCTCTGTTAGAGTCTTAATAGCTGCATCACATATACAGGAAAGAAAACTATAGTTCAGTTAGAAGGGGAAAAAAATCTTCAAGAAAAATCTGACTGGAATTGAACTCACCTTCCATTAAAAACAATCCACATTGCGGAACTTGACGTTTAATTTGCTTAATGAAGTTCAATTCTTCCTCATGCTGGTGAATATAATCACTTAACACGGATAATTTGTCCAATGGATTCTTTACTTCTTGCAACTCTTTCAGAACATTTTGAATGGTTTTTGGCTGATAGGAGGGCTTAAGGCTCAAGGTCAGTTCAAGGGGAGATGATGATGAAGAAGCCATTGCTCTCTTTCTCTCTCTCTCTCTCTCTCTTGTATCCTCTGATTTGATCTCTCTGGTTTTGAGAACACAATGAGGAGAAAGGACGGGATATTTGGGAGTTATATAGGGAGATTGAACAAAGTAGAAAATTTTTAGAAAATTATAAAAGAAGAATCCAAAAGATAAATTTGATTACCAATCAGAGATTCTCATGTAATTCTTTTTTTTTTCTTAAGAATTAAAAAGGAGAAGAGAAACACAATTTTATAAATCTTGAGTTAGTGCAAATCTGATATTCATATTAGGAAAGATGAGTGCTTTTATTAATTGCAACCTCAGATTCTGCCATGTAAGGCTATTGCTGAGTTGAATACCATATTTGCACTGAAGCAGCCGTTACTCATTTTTTTTTTTTTTTTAATGTTTCTATTGGCATATTCTTTTGATCAGCAAAGAAAGAAGTTAGTACTTAGTTATTGCACGGATTTGAATGCCTGACCTTGAAATCAAAAGAACTTAGCTAAGTTTTTGTTAGTGCTGTTGTCTTATATGACGTGGAGTAATTGAAAGAAATATGAGAATTGGAAATGTTTGAAGGATTTAAGAGTCAGAAAAAAGTGCTAGTCTGGACGGAAATGACTACAATGCCCTCAATACCCTCAGTTTCAAATGATGGTTAAAAGGGCATTGTACTCATGTTTAATCCAGACCCAGTCTGGACTGGAAAAGAACAAACTTTATAAGAATTGTTTCTAGACTAGATTTCCCTTGGGGGAGAGTCCAACAATTTGAGCATTAATAATACTTCAAGTAAAGTTTTTTGCTTCAAATCTTGAGATGGGTATAGATTATGGAGGGATTTGAGAAAAGTAAAGATTATCTTCTATTGTATAGCCTATAACTTAAGTATCAAAAGAATAAAGGAAATGTTATTTGCTTTTCGCATGGATCTACTCTATGTTTTTACCTGAACGAGAAATAGATTCTCTTAATGTATGGTAATGTAAAAGAATGATTATTTTAGAGGAATATTTTGTGAAATTATGGTGAAAGAAAGAAATACCACATACACTATTCTAGGCTAAGTGGGTTCATTAAAATTAGTTACACACTGCTAGGTAACTCCCTCGCTCTAGGAATGTTCAATTTTGAGTACACAACTTTTTGGCAAGCCTGTTTTCTTCTTCTTCCTTTTTGTTTCTCCCTGTTTTCTTTTCAATTATTTTTTTTCTCATCTTTAAATAGTGAAAGTAACTGGAAAAAAAATAAAAATATTAATGTTCTTAGGCTGTTTAGCAGATTCTGTTGACCTTCTATTGCTTCTTCACATAAATCATGATTCAATCCAAATCTCACTCACTCTCCATTGTCTTTTGCGTTAGGATTTTTTCATTATTATTTTATTCCCTCCCCCGACCTTCCCTCTTTAAATTATCACTGGAAGAAGAAGTTACATATACTTTTTGTTTTTTTCAATGGGGTTACGTAGGATGATGGAAAGAAACAAAATGTACGGTTTTTTCCCTCGGGAATATTCAGCCACGTTGAGTATTCTTTCATAGCAATGAACTAACTGCTGCTCTATCATTTAGTCTGTCCATTAGAAAATTAGATTCCTTTATCCTTTTTGGACTGTTATTAACTTTTTGAAACTTCCTGTGACTAAAAATGGATGTGTAATGAAGGGGGTGTTATTGGAGGTTCTATTGTCATTAATGGAAGTTCTTTTGACACGTAGGAGGTGCATCTCTTCCAAGGAGGGCCACCTGGGTTCACCACACAACATGCAGTTTTTATCTGGGCCCACCAACTAAAGTTAGGTAATTTCACCTGTATTTGAAAGGTAACTTATAATTCTCACTCGGTTTTGGTTGAAGATAGGTACTTTTTCAAGTAACAAGCTCTTGATATTGATGGTGGGAGTATTCAGACCCATCTACCGAGGATGGTTTCAAATTTGAGCTACAAGCTGTGGTGTAAGTAAGTGTTTTGTAGAATAAATAACTAATTACTATAATAGGTTTCTTTAGATATATGATAGCAGATGGTTAGATGATTTTTTCTTTTTAAAAATTATTGACCATCGCTCTAAGTTTAACCTTACCTATTGTTTTTTGGTACGTCAGATTAGTGAGAACAACTAGCTTAACTGCTAAAGTTAAATATTGTTACTTAAACAGAGATAGTGACTATTGTTATAAGATAGTTGAATATCTGGACAACTCTACAAATAATTATTTTATAAAGTGACGAATCTTTGGAAGAGTATCATGGCTGCAAAACATATTTTGGACAAAAGCGCGGACCGGCAGACTGGAGATGGTAATAACACCAGCGTATGAAAAGTTGCTCAGGTTCCAGTTTTACAGAATAGGTTAAGAGTCCTAATATATTCTGGGGGGAGGCAGGAGTGAAAGCAATTTTACACATTCCTCTGAGAACTATTTTTTTGGGGGATCGTGCAATTATGGGGTTGTGCTGATATTCTGATAATGATAGTTTATTTTTTTTTGCAGAGCTTACTGCATATATATTGAAAGGAACAATAGAAGAACACAAAGGGAGATCGGAGATGGTGTAGCATCCCACTGGAAGTTTATATGGAGGGTGGATGTACTTCCTAGTATTAAAATGTTTCTCTGAAGGGCTTGGTATTTGGCCAGGACTTTGGTGTCTTTACTAGTGATTTGAGAACTGTGATGGTGGCTGGAGATAGTCCTAGCAGGTGCTATAGTGGAATCCATATCCTGTCACGTCCAGGGCTCTGATTTTTGTTCTTTTAAGTTTTATCAATGTCTCTAGGGAGGGAAATGTGGTGGCCAATGCGTTGGAGAGCCTCTTACTTTATTGCTCATCACATATTGGAGTATATTTCTCATATTTGAGTAATGAACATATCGATCCATTTTATGTATAAATAAGGTGCAATATTTTGCCATACCCTATAGCAGTTCTTTTTGGTTACCCATATGAGATGTAACGTGGTGCTGGTGACCCGCCCTGGTTCTGTTGCAAGCAATACTCTGCAATTGGTAAAGTTTCCAAATAAAATAATGCAAAACCACAACAGTACTGAAAGTATATTAAATTAAGAAATGGCATGGTAAATGGTTACAAAAATCTCCTATTTATTAATATTTTTTGCCATCGTTATAAATTTTTTGGAACTTTTCTTTTTTAATAATTTAGAATTTCAAATAACAACATCCTGGAATAACTGATTTCAGAAAGTAAATTTTTAAGGAGGTAGGTAATAGATTTTTTCTAAATATTTGGGTCAACGTATAATCCTATCTAAAATTGAGGCGGTGTTTGTTATTTTTTCTAAAAGCTCAGTAAAGAAGTAAAAACAGAGGCCATTGATTGCAACAAGGTTTTGGGGCATACTAATTACTAAGCAACTTTGAAAGTGTAAAAGCCCGGGAGCCGGCGTTTGGTCTCTTCCCTTGCCGTGGCCCGCCTCCTCCTACTTCGGCAGCCGAGCCTTACTCTCCAAAGGGTAAATCCGGTGAAACTCTTATTTCAGAGACGAATATATTCTGATTAAATTACCAAGGAAGAAGTTGATTACATGCTCAACACAGTTGTCTTTTGGACTCATTCCATCTTTTATAAACAAGCATTAGCATGAATTTATTTTAACATTAGATTTTGCAGTTGCATCTCTAATTTAAGTATTTTTTTTCTCCATAATCAGAGGTAATCTAATGTGTTATTTCATTTTCAGGCTCCCAAAAGAGGTGCAAAGGCCCCTGGAGCTGCAAAGAAGGAACCAGTGAGTAATACTCTAAAAATACCTTGAGGATTTAGCTTTCTCTTCAGGGTAGTCTGTAGTCTGGTGTTAGAGTTTTTTTGAATTACAACACCCTTTTTTTTTAAGTTTCTAGTTCTGCCATATACTTGCTCATTCTGAGCCTGAATGCTTCAATTTTATTTAGGAGAAGGTTGTGAACCCTTTGTTTGAGAAGAGACCAATGCAATTTGGGATTGGTGGTGCATTACCACCAAAGAAGGATTTGACCAGATTTGTGAAGTGGCCGCATGTTGTTCCTATTCAGGGGAAGAAAAGGATTCTGAAGCAACACTTGAAGGTACCTCCAGCCAGTAACCAGTTCACCAAGACCCTTGATAAGCAGCTTGGTAGGTTACAACTCAGCTAAGTGGTTGCGTGGAGAATATTGAAGTTAGTGTTGCTGTTTTGCATCCAGATATGCCTTCTGTTGTACTGATTGATATTGATCTTTGCTGGTGTTTTGCTTTACGGCTTCAAATCTGTTCAAATTGTTGCTTAAGTATAGACCTGAGGACAAGGCTGCTAAGAAGGAAAGACTTCTGAAGAGAGCACAAGCTGAAGCTGAGGGGAAGAGCTTGGAGTAAGGAAACCCATTGTTGTTAAATAGGGGCTTAATCATGTCACTTACCTGATTGAGCAGGTATCTTTCTAGCTGCCTGTTTTGTTGTTGATTGTACTTGAATGCCTTAGAGACAATGACATTCGATAACCATAAACCTATATACTTTTTTTTTTGGATGAGTTGGAAAAAATACCCTCTTCTGGTTGTTTGCACCGACAATTTTTCCTGCCTCAAATACCTTCCTATGCTAAATTGTTCCTTGTTTATAGTCTCCTTTTTGTCCCTATGCTAGATTTTTCTCTTTTCACCATCCATTTGGTTCCACATGTTTATGCCTAGCTCTTGATTTCTTCTGAAAGAGCCTATTTGATCTATGTAGAACAAGGCTCAGTTGATGGTTATCGCACTTGATGTTGATTCAATTGAACTTGTTTTTGGCTGCCTGCGTTGTGCCACTAAATGGAGGTTCCTTACGCAATTGTGAAGTGCAAGTCACGACTTGGAATGGTATTTTTCCTGCAGCTACCGTGATTGTAGAATATATTCTTTATAATTTTTTGTTTGGAAAATTGAGTTAGTCTTTTGACCATTGTGTTAATCTACTAAATGAACAGCTGGTCCACAAGAAAACTGCTTCAGTTTTGTGCGTTACATCAGTGAAGAACGAAGATAAACTGGAATTTAGTAAGATCCTGGAGGGGATAAAGGTAATCGTTTGTTATGTTTTGTTGAACACCCTGCTATGGGAAACTAGTCCTCTAAACTTTCTTGACAGTTTTAGTACTTGTGGAAGCTCCTGGCTTTCTGAGTGTTAAGAACGGCAACAATCCTTGCATTATTCATGATGTTAACAGATACTTACACATTTTTAACTCCTCACATCATAATGTTTATCATAACTGCATTAGTTGCAAGGGTTTTTACGCATCTGTGTGTGAGTGTAGATTTTGATTTCAACCCTTTTCTTGACCTACAATTTCAGGCCAACTTCAATGATAAATATGAAGAGAACTGTAAGAAATGGGGAGGTGGCTTAATGAGCCCCAAATCTGAGGCCAAGACCAAAGCAAGGGAAATACTTTTAGCCAAGGAGGCAGCACAAAGAATGTCATAACTCATAAGCTTCAAGCACCGAACCCTGGGGACGACCACTGCATCACTTTGAAGTTGGAAGATGTTTTTGCTTAAATATTATTGACAAATTTTATATTAATTGACCTTGATGTTGCAATCCTGTAGTCAATTTATCCTCTTAGATATATGATTGGAGAGTCGGTGTTGAGATTGTTGTCTTGTAGTAAACTGGCAGTCAACCCAAATGTTTTATCTTT